ATGGGCCTAAACTGGGTCCGACATTTATTCATGGGGGGGGGAGAGTAGCTTCTCTGTTAGTACTTATACTGTACTACTACTACTAGTACAACGTCACAGGCGTAAGTCTTACTTACACCCTGAGGGTAGGGCAACCAGAGAGTTTAAAGCGGAGATGTAAACTTTTGAGGCACCCTCAAGCTTTAGCAATTCGGGGTGGGGAGTGGTACCGGTAGCTCCCATCTCTTTCTTTTTCTTTTAGTCTAGCACCCTTGCATAGTTCGATCTTACCTTAAAGGCAGTTAAGGGGTTATCTGGACGGTCTACGGACCGTTTTCGGACCGTTTCTTTTGAAGATGGTCCTCGACTTTCAGAACGGTCATTACCGGTAGACTAATCAACAGTTGACGTCGCAACTTTTCTGGCCCTTTCCTAAAGTGGACGAAAAAGAAATGTCTTTCGCCGCACTTTTCATAATGTGACTCGTCTTATAAACGATAACTGATCATAAAAATTCAAGATTCTGATATTGAACGATAGCGCCGATTTATAAAATCAAATTATAATGCGCTAGCTTCTCGATGCATTATTTTATTCGAGATATAAATTATTTAAAAGTTGAAGGTTTCGGAATTCCAGTGGTTTTGATCGGTTTAGAAAAAAAAAACTAACTGTGCAAATACATATATTTCGAGCAACATAGTTCGCAATGATAAATAGTAGTAACTACTATAACTTGGAAAACAAGATGCATCAATAATTTCGGATCACGCCGATTAGGTCATTCGATTTTTACTTCTACATTTAGATTCGTTATCGAGTTGTCTGAATAATTAGCTGAAATGTCGCGATTCTTAGCGGATTACCAAACTGATTTTGGTTTGTTCGACGGAAGACATCTTTTTTTTTTCGCCTACTTTAAGGAAGGCCTACTTTAATACTTTAAGGAAAGGCCCCTAGAGTTGCGACGTCAAGTCCCCTTATTATGAGATCTTGAAATGTCAACTCTGTGCAAGAGTGCTGGCAAGGCTTTTTGGAAGCCATTCAGAAACCACAGTAGAAAGCTCGGGGAAGGAAAGACCATCATTAATGACATCACGACTCACTAGCGCACCTTGGAAGTATATAGCCTTTTGTACATCCTAGAAGTATAATCATCCTCTCTTCTCTGGTTTCAACCGGGGTACATTTCTACCACCGCTCTACAAAGTACGTAGTATAGGGCTAGAGTGGGTTTGCACATGCATTCATACGCCGTACTGTCGGGTGATAGTAAAAGGGGGTCTTGGCAAGCTTGTGCATACCCAAATCCGAATCATCATCTCCTCCAACAACCACAACACTCTCACGCTCTACTCATTTTGACACACATAAATACGCTAAGTCTAGGCCTGCTGTCACATACGACCATAGACTGAGGAGAATTGGGCATCCCGTTCGCTCTGCCATACACAAGCCTCAGATCGGCAGATTAGTAGTTGGGTGGGTGACCACCAGCGAATACCTGCTGTTGTGTGTTTTTGGTCTTTTTTGTCATGTCTTTGAATCTAGTTTTGGCGTTTGCAGACTGGGTTCCATCTATTTATTTCGTATCCATCTATTTAATTCACTCGACATAATATGATCAGCTATCAAGCTTTAGAAAAAAGTCCACATCTACTTTTAAATATTGATTCCCTATTGATATGTATATTGCAAAACATCAGCTGTGATTTTCCAGCCGAGACTTCCTTACCGGCCTGCAAAAGAATACTGGTAGTATTGACTAGGTAGGTGTAGCAACAAGTCCTTTCTAGCTCTGTCTATCTATGTTAGCTGAACTATTCTATCTGTAGCTATATAGTGAAGTAAGCAAAACCAACTTCACATCCCCTCTGCCCACCGACTCTGCGCCTCCCCTCCACATTCCCTCAGTAACCAATCCTGCGCCTTCAGCAAGGTCTCCTTCTCTTCAGCCTCCGTCATCCCCTCAATATCCTCCTCCGTGTCCGGATCCAGCCTATCCTCCCTCGGAAGCTCCTCGCCCATCCCAAACATCCTAACGCTGTTCTTCCAAGCAGCCTCGCACACCTCCTCAACACTGATCCCCTTGATGCCCGCAACAGCCCACGCAACCCTTCCAATGAAGCATGGCTCATTCCGTCCCTTGATCGTCGCGCCTTCCACCCATCTCTCTTTCTTGACACTCTTCCAGCCACCCCAGCCCATAGCCGGGTCTTCACCCTCCGCACTCTTTCTATTCCCTCTGTTGCTCCCTTGACCATTGTTGCCTCGTGCTGCATTCCCGGCTTCTGCTTGCGGGGAGGGGCAAGCTCTGCCCGCATTTTGGATAGTACTGCAGAGGAGGCGTGACTCGGCCGGATTTCGCACCACGGACCGTCCGTCTCGATGTGCAGTCGTTCGAGCGGGATGGCCTTGACCACCGCGCAGTTCTCTTCTGTCTTCATCGAGCACCCGTTGACGCCAATATGCCACCCCTGTGCCACCAGCTCTTGCATTTCCTCCAGTGTCCCTGTAAAAGAATGCACCACGCCTCTTTTCGGCAGTCTTCTTGAATAAATAGAAAGACACTCCATGAAATGCTCATGCGCGGCTCGACAGTGGAGGAAGAGGGGGAGTTGTAGCTTGACTGCTATTTTGAGTTGGTAGTTGAAAGCGAGACATTGGATGTGTTTTGGGCAGAGCTCGAGACGGTCATAGTCAAGTCCTATCTCCCCGAAAGCCACCACTCTGTGTTCGTATTTGCCCTGGTCAGCCAAGGCCTCGAGCTTTTGTAAGACGGAAGGCGTGAGAGATGAGGCGTTGCATGGGTGGACGCCTATGGTTGCATAGACTGTGCCAGCTGGAGGAGATGTGTGTTAGCCATATATCTGAGTGACGGTTCCATACCAGTAGCCCAATCCGCTTTCTCATCCTTGAACGTGCTTCCCGAGCTTTCCCACTGAGAATCGCCTATTCCCCAATTAAAAGAGCCAAACTTACGAAACTCATCGCACAGGTCAAGGGCGCGCTCAGAGTGCTTCAAATCGCTCCCCGTCACAATCAACTTCTTGCACCCCACGTCCCTCGCCCTACGCACCACATCGTGCAAATCGCTCGGGTGGCGCTGCGTACCGTTGTAGAGGCCGATGAAAACCGGATCAGTGAGATTGATGCCTATCTACTTTACAGGTGATGTATTAGTCGATGGCTCTACATATTTTCCTGGGGAGAGAGCTGGGTTGGTGATCAGAGAAGGGGGGTTCAAGAAGGGGCGTACATCGCAGAATCTCGGGACGTATGCTGACGCGGTCGGCGATATTGGTGATGGATTTTCATTCTCTTTTCCCCTCTCAGTCGGCAAAGATGCCGGGTGGGTTGAAGTTGAAGGTGCTGCGCAAATAGGTAGTGTGAAAGATGACGGGGAAGGTTCTCCTGCGTCTGTATTTGTCGTCGACATGTTTATCGGGATACGGCTCACTAAGTGTGGGTGTTTGGCGCTTAGTGTGTTGATTCGGAGACGTCGGGTGAGAGGCCGGTAGAACTTCATCTGCTTTAGATAATAGAGTCGTTTGCAGTATTAGGTATGTTGGTAAGTCAACGAGGCTGTGAGGAAGCTGCGAGGCTGCGGTTTGGAGGGCTTGGCGTGACGTTGCGTTTAATGGGGACGAGACTCGCTTGCGTCAGGGGCTGGATTGATACTGTACAATGTAAGCGAGGCGGATGTAAACAAGAGGCTTGCATAGGGGAGCAGTGGCTCTGTATCGATTTATGCAGGGATACAGACAAGGGCACGAAGCGATTGGCAGAGGGGTGGATAAAGAAGAGAAACCACATCGACGCAGAGATTTTGGTTTTTCCTGACATCGGGCACGCCGGTTTGAAACCCGTCGTGAGCTCACCCACACGAGTCTTACATAAACTCTACAGTAGACACTGCTAGTTATCGCCTTGGCGGCCCTTCCCCATTACTCCTCCGCTTCGTGGGGATGCATGGCTCGTGGTATGGATCCCTCGAGAATCCCGTATGTCTTGGCAACATATGACCCTTGATGGATAATTCCTTCAAGCCTATCCCGTGCAACGTCATGCCAGAATCGTTATCCATAGTACACATAGTAGTATCAATCATTACTTCCGAATGTGAGACAGGCTCACACCCCACTTCCCTTGAACCCTTTAATCCTTCCATCCCTTACTACCCCGAGACTCACTCCTTCCTCACCCGTCATCCACCCGGGCATTTTCTCTCCATCCAAAATACCCTCTTCAACCAATCTCCTCACCCCAGCGAAAACATGATGTCCTTGAAACGTTACTCGCACATCAGGGCGCCAGCCTTCTGTCTGAACCTGATCCTCGTCGTCATCGTCGTCAGCCGAGAAATTTAGCGTGCTTCTTCTTCCACGTCGTTGTCGAGGAGCTGGACTCGCGTCTGCGCCCTCTTCATCCTCAGCAATAGAAATCCGGGTTCTGGGAAACTGATCCTGCATCTGTATATCTAGCCGCTCGATGCCCTTCCCATCATCCAGCAGCGCCGAATTTCCAAACCTCGACTTCGCCAGCAGCTTTCTTCTCTTTACCACGTCCTCGTCCTCCACCCTTTTCCTCTTCAACCCAGAGATCTCGAAGTCTTTGCCCTCGTCGTCTTCAGACTCTGGTGTAGGGAGCCGCAGATCCAACGGATTGTCCCCTTTCTTTATCCCCGCATAGATACCCCAACCCCCGGCACTCGCATTCCCCCGTCCCCCAGCCCTATTCTCAGCCAATGCCTCCAGGTTCCTCGCACTCAGATTGGTCGACTCCAGTTTGTACCTGTCCCTCGGCTTACTAAAAGCTTTGGGGATTCCCTCTAGCATCAATCTTCGTAGACTCCTGTTATCTGAGCTCGTTCCTGGGATAGAAGATGGCGCGAGAGAAACATAGATGTGGGGGCTTGAGTCCGGGAACGCTACGTAAAACGTCTTACTGGAATCGAATAGTTTCTGCTTGTGTAACGCGCGATTGGTGTTATAGGGGCTTTCCAGGATGAAGACTCTGAGAATGAGAATTGGAAGCGTAGCATGGCGATCGAAGTTATAGTGCGCCTTCACATCGGGCAGGACCTCCCTCTGCAGATTTTTGACGAAGGTAGCTGGGTGGAAGCGTGGTACTGATGGCGGCTTGCTGTCTCCAGAAGGTGATAGCCGGACGAGTTTTAGGGCAGTCCATTTCTGGGAGGCAGGATGGTCATAGAAATACTGCATATCCGCCATGGCGAGCTGGTACAGCGAAATGCCATCCCGCCAGTCGCCCTCGATTATGCGATCCACGACATCGCGTTTGGAGCCTTTCTTGGACTGCAACTCGGTGTAGGTTTCGCGTAGGGCTAAGACTGATGAGGCGGGTGGGTAGATTTCTAGATCGCCATCTAAGCCTTCGGGGGAGAGGAGGTGCGGGGCGCAGTTCTCCTGGTTGCGCTCGTCGAGCCAGTCGAGCACGAGGTTGAGCAGGGAGGGGCGCGACAGTCGGTGGAGGATTCTGAAGACGGCGGGGTGGGTTGCAGGGACGAGTTGTGTGGAAGAGAGGGCAGATGATGTTGGCACCGAGAGGGATGGCATGTTCTGATGATGGTTTGGTGGAGGGGCTGGAGGGGGTGGAGGGGGTGAAGGGGGTAATTGGCACGGCTCGGGGCCGATGTTGTGTGAGATGAAATTCGCGCCTCGCCGCGCTTCTCCTCGATACCCGTACGCGCCAGATCACGTGCACAATGCTTAGTTGATTTACAGTCTAACCCGCCTGTTGTCAGCTCCACCCCGAGATCGAAAGCCGAAACAAAGGCCGAGTTATGCCGACAATCGTGTGGTTTTCTTTCATCCGCCCCACACCCTCATCCTCATCTGAGGGATCATCCTTTGAGCCCGAGTCCGAGCCCTCCCCCACCAAGGCAGAAGGAATCCGAAAGATGGCTTGAATCGAATAGGTAGGATAACAGAAGCACGAAGATGGATTAGCATATACTACGTGTTCATATATACTACTACATATATGTACATACACATACCCAGGTGCAGACAGACAGAACATACGTGGTGACACCAGTACCGGTACCTTGACCTACGATGTTGCCGCCATGCATTCATCCGGGGCCCTTCTCGTGACATCTGACTAAGTAGTGCGACTGCATTTAACCCCCGGCATTGCGATAGTGGGGCGATAACGACCACTCGATTTCAAATGCCAATTGTTCCTCCCTCCGCTCCCCTTCTCACCCATCACGACTAACATACCACCAACACTTCAGAGCATAACACACCTCGACACATTACATTACCATACAATACAATACAGTACAATACAACATAACATACGCACGAAGCACAAAAGCCGGCCGGCGGGGACCTATCCAATCCGGTCCCCCCCTCCCCCCACTGCGGAACACGGCTTCCAATCGCCGCTTGCGAAGACAAAGACAAAGACTCCACGACTCGAGTCTTCCGACACACCACGCCGTCGCCTTTCCCTGTATACTTCCCTCAGCAGCGACTCCATCATCGCATTTTACGACGCCGAGGACTCATTCCCGTACCGCTACTTTATCAAGTCAACGCCCGCATGGCTTACAGTGCACCCAGCCGGGTCAACATGGTGGACTACATCGCGACTTTGAACACGGTGCCGGTCGAGGGGGAGATACAGCCGGATCCGACCTTCCTCGAAGACGACCTGGCCATGTTCACGAACACCAATTTCTTCGACTTTGATCTGGGTCAGGACGCGGATCTGCAGCCGGTGGACTACACCGTGGATGGAAGGAGAGATCATACTATTGCGCCAGACTCCGTGGATATGAAGCCGTTGGAATTTTTGAATGGAGGTGAGCCAGGATTTCCTTTCTTTCTTTCAACGTTTTGTGAGGTTCTTGTGTGCCTCGCTGTTTACTGCTGGTGGATTTGTTTGTGTTATTTTCTGCTCTTTTGGCTTTGTCAACGGTCTGCTCGACCACGAATAGTCAACGACCCCGCTGCAGCCGCAACTTTTGCAATACGATCCGCCCGGCCATCTATTCGGCGCTTCTGCTTGGTTTGACACGGGCCAAGTTGTGGCTCTCTCGGGCCTCCTGGGTCTCTTGCAGCATCAGCTAGCATCATCGATCAGTCGAATTGCGCCATGTCACCTGACATTGCCTGCATCATCATCCCCATTACCATCATATCGGCAAACGGGCAAGTTGCCGGTTGCTCAAGGCTGGAGATCCCCCTCACTCCGCTTGTATCCGCTCTCTGTTTTACATGTGGGACCAAAGAAGGAGGCTTTTTTTTTAAAAAAAAAAAAAAAAGAGAAGCAATGCACTGACGATGTTCGCTTAGGTGACTTCCACTTCCCCGACTTCAACTCTTTTCCCCCCACGACCTTCACCGACACAACTCTTCCCCCCGCTCCAATCCAGACAAATCTACACCTCTACACCTCCTCCCCGGAAGCCTCCTCCCCTCTAGCCCAACCCTTCCTTGCAATCTCAACCCCCACCCGCACATCCACCAAGCGCAAGTCCGATTCCATCTCGGCCGGCTCGCCCACAGAGAACAGCGAAGACGCCGCTCGTAACGCCGCGGAAGAGGACAAGCGCCGCCGCAACACGGCCGCCAGCGCCCGCTTCCGCGTCAAGAAGAAGCAGCGCGAGCAAGCCCTCGAGCAATCCGCCAAGGCCATGAGCGATAAGGTGTCTGCTCTAGAAGGCCGCATCAACCAGCTCGAGACGGAGAACAAGTGGCTAAAGAACTTGATTACGGAGAAGAACGATAGCAAAGAGGACATCGCGACGTTGTGGAAGAAGTTCAGTGCTGGGAACGCCGAGAGGATACATCCTGAGCGCAAGGATGGAGTGGGAACCCAGGCGTGAACGTGGCCGCGGGCATGGGTGTGAGCATGAGCCAGAAATTCGGCGTCCTTGGATTGTGGTAGGTAGAGCTTTGACGGGATTCGATTTTGCATATGTGCTTGATCAGGTTCGCGCTGCGCTCTTTTCTAGACGCACATTTCATTAGCCTTTTTCTTCTATTGCATCGTTCGTAAGAGGAGCGTGGGAGCATAGGACCATGGTGGTATGGGTGGCCGCTTTTGACATGATAATGCGATCGAAACACGCTGGCTTGGGTTTGGGTGCATCCGGGATGTATTTACGAGCTTTTCAAAGCATATATATAAACAGCAAGCAATGTTAGTGGATGCGGAATCACCTGAAGTTACCAGGCACAAGTCACTGCTACACACAGTGCATATGAAATAAATAGAAAGTGATATGCTTTCTCTAAGAAGATGAATCTATTTTAAAGAGTCGTTCATGGGATGCTAACTTGACCCGGTCTTGGAAGATTCTAATTGTTGATGCCTTGAAGAGGGGCAGCTTGGGCCTTGTTTGCCAGGCGCCATTGATGAAGTCATCGCCAGTCTGTTTATCCGAAGTCTGGCAGAACGTGTATGCGACAGTACTGTAGCCAGATCCGCGGCTCTTAGTAGCCATGGCAAAGTAAGTATATCTTCACATCAGTTTCTTTGGAAACTTCAAAGCTAATATCTCCCAGCAACATCCTCTCTCTGCCTTTTCGCAAAACGAATTCCGTGTCCCTCTCAACTGCGATCAAACAGTACATCTCCAGCAAATATGACCAGCACCCGGACATGTTCAAGCAGGACCTCGAGGTCATCGATGCACTGCGGAGGGATGCTGTACATGTGAAGGAACCGCATACGAGCGGTATCAAGAAGATTTCTGCGTATGCAGGCCAGCTTTCCTGGATGGGGGGTAAATTTCCCATAGATGTGAGCGCCCCCTCATGTAGTCTGGACTTAAGCTGATGGCATTATCGTAGATTGGGGTCGACTTCACTTGGTATCCGGCGCTGGGGTACAACGTCGATCGGCCGATCTCCCAAAATAATCTCAAGTTCGAGCTGGCGAACATGCTCTACAACCTCGCCGCCCTCTACTCCCAACTGGCCATGTCCTCGAACCGCGGTACAACCGAAGGCTTGAGATCAGCATGCAACTACTTCTGTCTCTCTGCGGGTGTGCTATCCCAAATCAAGAATGTGATAATTCCAGACCTGCGCTCTACGCCCCCCGAAGATATGGACGACTCAACCCTCGAATCTCTTCAGCAGCTTATGCTGGCACAAGCCCAAGAATGTTTTTGGCAGAAGGCGGTAATGGATGGATACAAAGATGCTTCTATTGCGAAGCTGGCTGCAAGGGTCTCGGACTTCTATGGCGCGGCAGGGGACTGGGGAGTGAAAAGTGAAGCGATCAGTTCGGAGTGGATACATCACACCACGGCCAAACACCACCATTTTGCTGCCGCAGCACAATATCGACAGGCATGCGATTGCTTGGAGAAGAGAAAATATGGGGAGGAAGTGGCTAGATTGAGGGACAGTATCTCTTGTGTCAACGAAGGGTTGAAGGAAGCGAGATACTTGAATAAATTGGTGTTAGGCGATTTGAATGGACTGAAGAATAAGGTTGCTGAGGATTTGAAGCGGGCAGAAAAGGATAATGACCTGATTTATTTGAGTAAGCTTCATTTAGCCCTTTTCAAGACTCGGCTAATTGTTTAGGCCCTGTGCCACCGAAATCTGAGTTGAAAATACTCGAGCGGGCGAACATGGCCGTTGCCAAAGTTCCGAAGGAGATCTCTGAGCCCGCTACTTTCATCGGAGACAAGGGAGAGTTTGGACCACCACTATTCGCCAAGCTCGTACCGTTCGCTGTTCATGTCGCCGCCAGCATTTATGAGGAGAGGAGAGACAGGCTTGTCAATACCAATATTGTCGAGGAGCTTGAAATCCTCACTACCAAGATCCATGATACCCTATCCTCACTTAACCTTCCCGGGTCTCTCCAAGCTTTGGAGAAGCCATTGGGATTGCCACCGAGTCTCACATCTCACGCCGAAGAGATACGGCAGGCGGATGCCCTCAATCGATTACAGAGATCATTTTCCGATACTGCCAAACTCAAGGCCTCTGACGACGCTATGTTTGCTGAAGGTCGGGAATTACTTCAAGCCGAACAGTCCGAGAACGAAAAACTACTTATGAAATACGGAACCGACAGATGGACACGTCTGGACTCCAAGTCTGCTGCTGCGAAACTGCACACCCAAGTCGGTGAGATCGAAGGTTACCTCAGAAGCGCTCAGAACAGTGATCAACTCGTCATAAGCAAATACCGCGAATGCGAAGACATGCTACGCGTTCTTTCGAGCTCCGACCGTGACATTGCGAATTTTGTCCCGAGCAGTCGCCGCGCAGCCATTCCACCCAAGATAGAAGAGGAAGTAGTTCGGTTACGGAAAAGTCTTGATGAGCTCAAGCGCCTTGAGAATCGGAGAGGGAGGAAGATTGCAGCCTTGCGCGACAAGGCTAAGAAGGACGATATCAACAATAGTATTCTCAATGAGGCGGCGCGCCTGGAGCGGGATTATCCCAGCCAGATCCTGGTGCCTGCGCACTTTGAAGAATTTTTCGAGCACCGGTTGTCGAAATATGATGCTGATCTTGCGAGTCTGAGAGCGGAGGCTGAGGAGCAGGACCTTCTGATTAGTCAACTCGAGACTGCAAATGCAGCTTTCGTAATGGCGAGGAAGGGCGATAACAGTTCAAGAGAACGCGAACAGGCGCTACAGCGGCTAGAAAATGCATATTTCAAGTATAAGGAGATAGTCAGCAATTTGGAAGTTGGGAGGAAGTTCTACAACGACCTAGCGAAGATCGTGGGCCGTTTCAGAGACGGAGCGAGGGCGTTTGTGTACGAGAGGAGGGAAGAGGCCATGCGGATGGAATCGTGAGTTCTCTCTCTCTCCTCCTTTCCACTCATTCCCCTCCCCCCTTCCTTACTCTGAACATATCAAACTGACCAGCCCCCCTCCCTCCCTCAGCGACCTCGCCCTCCCTCCACTCTCCTCCCTCAAGCTCCGTCAACAACAAGAGGCCAACCCTCCCACCCCTCGCACTTACAACTCTCCTGCCCCTCCCCAGCCCCGCGCCCCAAACAACGAAGACTCGCACATCCCAGCCCCGGTCCCCCAACGCGCGGGACCCAATCTGACAAGCCCCACGGCTGTCGTCCCGGCGACCTGGAATCCAGACATGGGCATCAAGTTCGGCGGCGTGGGGGGTGCTAGTGGCGGGAACGGTGGTGGACCGGGCGAGAACATGGCGCCGCCGCCACCGCCGCCGCCACAGCAGCAGCAGCAGCCACAACAAACGTGGGATCCGAATCGGGGCTTCAAGTTTGGGTAGTCTACTCCCGGTCTACTTCTAGTCTAGCCTGGCCACAACACATCCGCCGGGGCAGGGCAGTTTTCAAAAAACTGGAGTTGGTAGATCGGTCGGTTAGCCTAAAAACCGGGGGTTTTTTTTTTGGGATGTTTTTTTTTTTTTGATGCATAGCGAGGAGACTGATTGATCATTATTATTTGGGGCGGGGGGGAGGGAGGGAGGGAGGTTTCACGAACAGATAGAAGAAGAGAAAAAACGTAAAAGCGATCACGACGAGCGGGAGCATGGTATGCATAGGTGAAAAAATCGATTAGAGGAGCTATATACGACATTTATCAAGGGCGTGAGTGGCTGGCTGGCTAAGAACAAGCAGTTCGTGATGTGCTTTCAATCCCGTCTCGACTCTTTCTTTTAATCTTTAATCGTCAGCTATGAAACCAATGTGGAGCTAGAACATCATGTCATCACGACAGTATCAGATGATAGAAGTTGATAGACGCTTAAGTTTAAGGTTCAATTGTTTGTGCATACCGGTAGGTCAGCACGTCACATCATTTTCAGTCACAGATCAAGACGTCACCATCACGAACAATTGGAAGTAGCATAAAGCCAAGCTTGGATTTCATGGCATAGCATGCAACGTATGCAGAGCACAAGCTCATGTTGATGTTTTCGATCTCTCTCCTCTCTTCTCAACTCTCCTCCCATAATTTTCCTTTCACCCATCCCATCCCAGCTGGTCCAGTCATGCCAGGCAAAGCCGAGGCCAGGGCCGATCCTTTTTGGTACTTTTTGGTATCTCCCCCCCATCGCCCCAGACCGGTCCCCCTATGCCACAAATACAATACTAATGCACGCTATTTTGTACAGACAATTGAGCCCTCCTTCTCTCCGAGCAAGAAATGTGATGTGGCCGCTCCAAAGCCCAACCAAAGGTGCCTCTCCAATCGCCAGTCCAGCACACTTGTCGTATTCAACAAACCCTTCAGGAAAGTTCAGACCCAAGCTCAAATGGAAAAAGAAAAGAAGCAAAGAAGAGAAAGAAAAAGAGAGAGAGCGAGAGGGAAAAAAAAACAGAGAACCTGGTGTGTATTATGATATTCCCCGCAAAATCAGACGCCCGCCCCACCAGCCGTTAGAGAAAGCCTTCGGTTTGCGCCATTGTGTCATCTATGAGGAATTCCAATCGCTAAAACGCTGTTCAAAAGTGGGTATCAAATCAATCGATCGGTTGTAACGCAAAGTTGTAGGGAATGAATGAGTGCGGCGGATGTGTAGTAGTAGGTGTGATTGTGTGTGTGATTGTGTGTGCGTGTGTGTTTGGATGGTATCGCGACATCAAGCTTCTTCAGTCATTGACCATGCTCATCAGGTCGGTGCTTGAATAGCCACGCTGGGTTGTCTCTCCCGAGTATGTGTCCACGAGAAGAGGTCGAACTTGGCAGACCCGGGGGGGGCAGCATTCCAGGGATTCTGGCCATCAGTCGGAGTGTGCCGCGGCTGTAGCGTCTCACGTGGCTCCAGAAGCAGACTCTTGCGGTAGTATTGTTGCACGTTCTCGTTCTCGGACGAGGACTTGACACGAACAATCTGCGCTTGGATCCACTCCTGTAACTCAGGGACATCAGCCAGTCGGTAAGGAATTTGGAACCGTTGGAGTTCGCCAATGATCTTCGCGGTTCGGGTATGCTTGTCAAAGTTGATGACGGGCATCCCTTCGCTGTCACCAAGACCCGGGAGTTGCCTGGTTGCTGCATTGCCGGCATCGACGAAGGTGAGATCAGTGAGATACATTCCCACGAATGGAAGGCAGGGAGGCACGTGGTCGTGGAGTCTTCGTCGCAGAACAGCGTAGTTCTTGTCCGTCTCAACAATCGCTTGAAGGGCCTTGAGCATATCCTTTCGTTTCTGCGAGACCACATCCCAAGTCTTCTTCAAGCGGACGATAGTGGAGGAGTTGAGGGAACAGATGATAGCCATCAACGAGTCGTAGTTATTCAGTTCCAAGCACTTATGTGCGATTTTGATCCATTGCTTGATGATTATGGCGCGCTTCTTCGCATCGTCGTATTGGAGAATCGTGTCGGCAACCAGGTTGGAGAGATCTGTGGAAAGGGTCGACATAGCTCTGACATTGACCGCATTCGATCCAGATCGCTTGGTCCATTCTGAGCCGAGTAGTTCCTCGGGCATGATGGAGCAGAAAATGTTCATTCCCCGGATGGTCAATTGACGCGCCATCTCCAAGGGGTCGATCTCAAGGATAGTAGGCGTACTTCCCCCCATCTTCCAGTTCTTCAGCAAGCCAATTTGGCTCTTGGTTAAGTTGACGGGAGGGAGCGGGGTGTCAGCCGGGATGTACTGTGCGATTGAGGTCGAGGTCTTGCCCATCGATGACACCAATCGGGGTACGAGAGGTCCGTCGTTGTTGGATACCTTTTGGGACAGGTCAAGTAGTCTCTTGCCTGCCGCAGGAAGCGTCTGCGTGAGTTGTTGCTGAGCAAATTGTTGAATGGTCTCGAGAGCATCGTGGTCGGAAAGATCTCTCCAGTGCGACTCCAGCCATCCCTTGAACACATTATACACCCGCAACCGTACAGGACCTGCGATGTGTGGGCTCTCGGCGACGTAGTCGAACCGTTCGACCAGAGCACGTGCAAGTTCGACTGGGGTGACGAAGAGTCGAAAGGTGAGGTAGAAGGTGGATACGAAAATCGAGTCGGGCGTCGAATCATGGGTGGTGAGTCTCTCAACGAGAGCTGGGAGAGTTCCACCGGTAATCTGACCCTCCTTGTTGTGAAGCAACTCGTGGGCGAACGTTCTTTCGAGCATCTTCGACTCACCGTCGTCGAGATCGTCTGTGAGAGTAGAGGAGTGGCTGGCGGTGACGCTGATATCGGAGATCGAGAGTTTCTGTCTCGGAACGTAATGCGACATATCTGGAGTGGTCGCTCTCGTGGAAGTCTGCGAGAGCAAGCTTGATTCCGAGTCGCGCATACTGCTGAGGTAGGTGCTGCTTTGTCCTGAAGTTGAGATCGCCATACTGTCGCTTCGGAAGGAAGATTGGAATTCGCTGTCGGGAGCGGACGAGTTCTCTGAGGGGCAGTATTCCTCCTGCGGGAACAATGGGCTTGTCATCTTCGGTAATGGAGGCAATAACGAATTCCGCGAAGATCGGTTCGAAGAGGCAGTGGTCGCGCTGTCGGGCGCCTCGTACTCGACGACTGGTTCCAGTACCTTCAGCGACAGTTGCGTTTCCGTCACGTCAGTCGGGGTTGAGAATGCCGATGGTTGTGGGACATTGGGCAGAGGCTTTTCGTAAATTGATTTCGGAACAATCAGAGGCGGGGGACACGGTCGGCTCGCGCTCTTGGGCAGGCTGTTCTTCTCTTCCTCTTCGGCTGCTGGTACTGCTGCTTGCTCCCCCGGAGTCTTCTGCGCGTCGACGCCAATGGACGCCACATCGATACCCAACTCGGGATCAAACTCGAAGTCTCCGATCCGCTCAATCACATACTTGGTCTTCGCAACACACTCTCCCGCAGCTTTCACGCATCCCGTAGCTGCCATGAGGAGACGTCCGTTGTCTTGCGGCATGACCACGTCCTCATCTTCCAGCCCCGACGAGGTGATGATCTCTCGCGCCGCGCCTACTAGCTTGTTGATCCGGTCGTACATGGCCTCGCGTGCCGCGTTCAAGGTCTCGGCGCTCAGTTTGTCGTGCACACAGATCGATTCCACGACCAGAAGAAGCTCTCGTCCTGCCGTGACGGACTGTCGTACCGTCGCAATGAGATCAGCGGAGGACTGCGACTGGAGGTGCAGACGTCCTATGAATGATCCGAGGTACGAGAGAAAGATGTCATGCCGGGAATTCAGACGCTCCGACACGAGATTCTGGCGTTGCGCAGCCGGTATGGAGGCTGACAACCGGTGCGAGACTGACTGTCGCTTTACCTGGAGGGAAGACGGCCTAGCAGTGGGAATGGATTGCGGGCGGCCACTCGTGCTATGCGCACTGTGTATTGCGGGACCCGTGTTGGGAAGATTGCTCGACATCCGTTTGTATGACAGCCGCTTTGTTTGTTGTTCTTCGGCCCGTTGTGATGATGAGAGGCCGCTTGCCGAGCTGCGACTCGAACTTCTGCGGGATGCCGCATCCGCATCGCATGCAGGGTCGAGCTGCTGGGCTGCCTCAAATGACGTCGAATCTGCTGGAGGAGTTGGGGGATTGTACGCCTCTTCACTAACTGTTGTGATCACTCGATGGACTGGGTTCTGCCGCGACCGAGTATCATCTTCCAGGACATCCAAGAACCGGACCCCCCTGGTCACAATCTTGAATGCCTTCAATATCATCTCGTCCATAGTGTCACTGAGCTCATGCGCGTCGACCGTGGCGGCCGCGTGATCCTGTAATTTCTTCGCCGTCTTGACTAACGATGACAGGTCGGACAGCAGAGCCTTGCGGTTCTTACGCAGACCTTCGTTGCGCTGGATAGCAGGACAATCTCTTGTCAGGCAATTCGATTTTTCCTATCAACCGTCAGCTCTTCATTTCCTTCAGATCTGGCTATCATCCCCACTGACTAGGAGATAGCGGACGCCGGCGATGATTCCGCGCATGAATTCCTGGTTGCCAAAAATCTCTCTGTCACTGACGATCCCACTCCTCATCAAGTCCCAGAAATTCAAGAGTGCCTTCAACAGGTTCCGCATTGCTTCCGGGTCGAATGCTTCGCAGTAGTTTGTGGGTAGCCAGCCTCGGGCGCCTGTCAGGAGCAGCGTCCCATCCGCCCAGCCATTGGTGTGTATCGAATGCACCAGGACCACGTCGCCCTCATTCAAAGATAGCGTTACAGTCGAGTCGGACATCGTGTACGTCGGATGAAAGGGATAGAAGGCCCGTAAAAAGGGGTGGAACACTGGCCGTGCAGGCTCTATGTCTTGGTCGAGGTCCTCCAGGGAACCATCGGGTGTTGCTGGTGGAGTCATCTGGGACTGATTGCGCGAGTCTCCGATCTTGCTCATACTCCTCGAGGAGTCGCTTCTGCTATGCCGAGAGGATACACTGGATGCACCAGACCTGTCCTTGTTGATAGACAGCGGTGCTACGTAGGCACTGGATCGCGCCGGGTAATCGCTCTCCTTCAACATGATGGGCAATCCTATATGGCTACCATGGAAGTCGTTGGTGGTATCTCGTCGGCTGCTTCTCGACCCTTCTCTCCTGGTAGTATTCCAAGCGACTCTTCAAGCTCCCACAACGCGCGGTGATGTGATCGAATCGCGAGACGAACAGGTTGGCTCTAGAGGATACTTTCTGCGACTGCAGTCCAAGTGGCCACGGACAATTGCGTGACGAGTCCTGCTTTCCGTATCTGCCTTTCGTTCTTCCTTGCTCTGCGATTGCGAATGGTCCAGCGATCTGGCGATCTGCGCGAAAGGGTACCGTTAGCAAGCCCGTCTATGACAGCAATATCTAATGTTGTTCTGAGGGTAGGAAGCGGGTGTATGAGGAATGCAGTGAGGGGCCTAGGAATGTCGCGAATATCTCAAGCGGAGCGGAAGCCTGCATACCAATTCGGGTCGAGTCAAGGGTTTCGGGCTCCTCAAGTCCGTCCTCGTTATGCACAGACTAGACAGGCAACGGCACGGCAGAGGGTAGTGCCTGTGCCCGATCCAGGCGTATTTGAGGGGGGAACCTGGGGGGCGGGCTTGGACGTCGAAACGTTTGGTAGGGATCGCCGGCCTTCCAACAGTCGCAATGGCCCTATCGTACACTATGATCTGGGGATAGTTTTGTTTGTTTGTTTTTTTTTTTTTTGACTTCCGATAGACGAGCAAGCCGGATCCTGGAACAGAGAAAGGAAATCCGGTGCTTCGGAGTTTCGAGGTCCGCAGAGGGTATTGCCAACGACAATTGACGTGTCAGGCTGCTGCTGCTGCTGCTGCTGCTGAGGGAGGGAGAGAAGATCAGGAGCTGGGGTCTCGGAGAGGTGTCTTTGTGTGTATTCGTGTCTTTATGAGTCCGCAGCCGGAAATCCAGTCGTCGGACTGCACAGCCAATGCATGAAACGGAGAGAGTTGAAGAAGGGACGGGTAGGGAACTTGCTAGCACAAGGCTGTCGTTTTCTCCAACCAGCAGCGAAGCCGTGGAGTCAGCAGAGGCGATCGATTGATCGCGGGGGGGGGATTGTCGGTTATCGTTTGTCGTTGTCCGGTAAGGGATGCGAGATCCGCGGCGAAAAGTGGTGTTTCTGCTCGAGTCGGCACGGAAAGGGAGGACGGGCGGGAAACGAGGACGAGGGATGAGGTTGAGGTTGAGGTTGAGGTTGAGGACGAGGTTGAGGTTGAGGTTGAGGTTGAGGTTGAGGTTGATGTCGAGGATATCAAATCGACAAGTCAAGGAATTATCAATGAATCTATCGTGACTTCCAACAACGACGAACCAACAACGAAGGAACGGATAGGTAGGAAGGAAAGGAAGAGAAAGGGGACAGGAAGGCACGTCACAGGTCGGTAGGTAGTAGTAATAGCAGTGGAGTCCTCCTCACTTCTGATACTCTATTTACTCTTTTCTCTACGAATAGGTTCTTCCGGAGATACAGTACCTGCGGCGTCCCAAGGCCAATTAAATCGACGTGGTAGAGCAAGCACAGCAGTATCCACTTGACCCTGACTGAACTCTCAATTTACCGGCAACCTTCCGCAGGGAG